TAACATGTGCAATATATAGAATAAATATTCCGTAAATGTAATTTTTCGATTGAGCAGCTGTTTTACATTGCTCCATGAAAATAATCTTAAATAATAATTATCTTAGTGCTCCCTAAGCCTAATAAACTATTAACAAACACTCAAATAATTCCTTCAACAGCCATATCAACCACTTCGATCGAATACCTTCTGCCAGGAGTGTCATGCGACGGTTAAATGCAAAAGAAGGTAATCTCCACTAATCGCAGTGCACCAAAATTCCCCTTTCCTTTAAGCACCATCCACTTTTTTAACGAATGAAAAGTTGACTACTTGAAGCAGCGTGTCCGAGTTTTCTCGTCAAGCGTCGTACTCGCTTAGCAAAGCCAATGCCATTATGCGTGTGTGCGTCGCAGGAGCGAACGGCCGCGACCGAATCGTTTCGATCTCGACTCTCGCATCCCGTTCGAAAACGACTCGGTCCCGTCCGATCGACCGATCGCTGAATTATCATCGAGATTTGAGATAGTTACCTGACCCAGTACACACAAAAGCATACACGGTCCGACGTGTTTAGTGCGAGTATATCGAACACGTGGATTCGAATACCGTTTAGATACGAGAATTTTTGAGGAAGCACACACAGGCGGGTCTCGCTTTACGATCGTGTGTCGGTAAGACGTCAAGACACTTGCGACGAAGTGTATACAATGTACAGGACGATCCATTGCCAACGTCGCCACCCACGACAGGACGATTGTTCGCGAGAAAACAAAAATGAACGCGAAACGCGCAGGAATTCGCTTCGGACTTCGTTTCGAAACATTCAGCCATTTCTCTTGTTTGGATTCTTTAAAATTTACTGCTTCCCTATTACATTCTGTTGCACCTCTTCACGGATTTTTTTCCGATACGTGAGAGCACGAAAAAAAACAAAATTGCTGACGTTAATGTGTTCAGCGAAAATCGGATACAGTAAATTCTCCCCAATTCGCGCTAAAATTGCGCAGAGAAATGAACAATTTTGGAAGAGGAGACACGATTATCCGAACCTCGCGGCTCCATTTTTATAGTTGCCGATCGTCAACAATTATAAAAACGAGCCGCAAGGCTCGAATAATCGTATTTCCCCTTCCCAAATTGTCCATTTTTATTTACAAGCCGAAGGAAAATTAGGGAGAATTTTCTGTAATCTGGATTTTTAGTACTTCGTTATTCTTGGTTTTGTTATGTTAACAATTTAGTATTGGAAACCGATGTACCCAAAGAAAAAGAAAGCCTTGGGACCAACAAAATATCGGCGCATTGCCTGACTGAACGACAATTGTACATTTAGCAGCGTCGCATCGTAAGAATAGTAACAACAAATTCCTTCATAAACGTCAAATGAGACTCTTGATAAATAATTTCATCGGGTACATCGGTTTCCAATACTAAATTGTTAACACATATCAAAATCAAGAACAATGAAGTACTAAAAATCCAGATTACAGAAAATTCTCCCTAATTTTCCTGCAGCTTGTAAACAAACATGGATAATTTGGGAAAAAGAGATGCGCTCATTCGAGCCTTGTGTCTCGTTTTTATAGTTGTTGATAATCGATTTGTTTATCTTTATTTATCTTTATTATATGGTAATCGATATTTTAATTTTTGTGCGCAATCTGAGCGCACAAAAAATGGAAAAATCTGAATTTGGCAGAAATTACTGTATTTCGTGCACTTTCGAGCAACAGAAGTCACCAGACCTCGTTCATTTTTCTGCCGATAAATACGCTCGCGGATTTTCCCGCGTTTCCATCGAGTAGATGCAAACACGTGAACCATAGTGTCCAAGACAGAACAATTCTAATCGGCTCTATTTCTTCGTGTAATATTACATCGAACTCGTGACGATTTCGAACAGAATTAACTAAATCAAAGTGTTACCTATTTCATCGAAATGCGAGCAAAATTGCACGATATTTTAGAGTACATCGCAGATACGCGACAAGTAGATGATTAACGACATGGAGATTTTAATCAGCGTAATCGTGTCAGAAATTGTAGAACGACGCATTAACTAATTACTTTATCCCACAGCGGACGAGATTATGCGAACAGAAAAAAAAGCTTCTACGGAGTACGCGATGACTTTTTCTTTTTTAATATTACGCCGCAACGTTAATTTCTCAGTGTCGACGCATTCGAACGAGCGAACGAACTGTCGGCATTTCCAAATTACAACAAGTTCGTATTATATATATTTTCGCTGAAGAAATGGATAGCCTCGAAACGAAGGCGGATGTGCGAACGTTTTTATTCCGGTGATTCTCGCGGGCGATTTTCGCGAAAAGTCAGCCTGTCATGGATCGTGCCACCAATAATGGACCTCCTTGTGTAAATGGACAGCGGTTGAATATAAGAAGCGTATACATTTAGGTGGTACCCTGTGGTGATGTTCGGGTGGCATGTGTGTGAAGCGAGCACGTCCAACTGGAGCACCGAGGAGCAAGAGCAGGCTCACGAGCAGGGCCAAGAGCAAGGGCCATAAAAGATGGCGCCGATGGCCCCAGGTAAGGTCACAGGCGCTCCTCGTTTCGTGATCATTGCTCCTGGGAGCACGGCTCTGCTCTTTGCTCCTCCTCTGCCCGGAGCGCTCCGCCAGAGCAACGAGCTGGACGCGCCTGAACCAAGCTTGTGTGTCTCTTTTTGACCACGATGTAGCCTCGATCGAGATCGCTCGAATTTCCGCAGCGAGTCGTGTGCGCGAGCTTTCGATCGTTTCGCGGAATTTTGTCGCAGCTGGTAGCGTGGATACGATTCCGGGTAAATCAATTTCGTTCGAGACGGGAAAGAATTTTGTACACCTGTGCAACGGAGTTCCAAAGTTAACGCGCATTGTGGAAACAACATCTTTTTTGCTACCTCGCTTTGCTTCGGAAGATTCGATAGAACGCTGATGAATTATTCGAGATCACTTTCGGAAGGACGTCTAATTCCGTGCTACGTGTTCCACGATATTCGCATTAAGAAATCACGGAGCCGATAAATTCATTTCTTGCGACGCGAGCGGTGTCCCTGTTTTGACAATGCTGTAGAAGCGTCACGATAGAAATATTTGCCGCAGGGACAAAATTTTCGACGATGTTTTAAGATTAGCAGGTAATTTGAGGGAGAAAGGAAGATATTCGTAAATATTAACGGATACGATACACTGGAATTCTTATTGCACGTACAGTTTAATCAAAATCTTAATTCTTAACTGTGAACACGAGATTGTTTAAATACAGGGTGTCCCAAAAATGTCACGCAATCCGAAATTGCGGACTAATATGTTTTTTAAATTGATAAAATATATAGAATATTGAATTTAAGTGTCCTTGTTTTCAAAACAACTGAATACACATGGTGTCCCGTAATTATATTAACACATAGAAACGAGTTATTCCTGAGGTCATTCGAAGTATTCTTTTCCTTAGCGAAAATGCAATCTGCTGCTTTGTTTATGAGTTTTATTAACGAAAAAACAGTGACCAATGAGAGGCGAGATCAATTGGCGCATGGCGGCCGAGCCAACGAGTGGACGAAGCTCGCCTTTCATTGGTCACTGATTTTCGTTAATAACTCGTAAACAAAGCTGCGAATTGCATTCTTGCTAAAGAAAAAATTACTTCAAATGACCTCAGGAAGCCTCCATTTCCGGATTACGAGACATTTTTGGGACATTCTGTATATATTATGTTTCGCAATGAAAGTGATCATTGTATTTAAATTGTAATTGCGAGACCTAACATTAAAAGGCCTGTCTACATATTTTTCTCTCTCTAAAAAAAAAAGCTGTGGTTTGTAAAGTTGATCGAACAATATAACTTTTATATCTTTTTCGTATAATCAGAAATCAAAAAATCAGTTTCAAAGACGATAACTCATTTTCGTCGAAATTTTGTTCCCCGATTGGTCGGCAAGAAAACAACAGATCCGACGGAAAAGAAGATGGAAGTCGATGCCGATTGCAACGACAGCATTGTCGCATATATACGCGGCTCCGAGGACCGTTTTCCGATCGATCGTCGAGCATGCATCGTTGACGGCGACGACGCGTTATTAAAATCGTCTAATTAATATTTCGAGATGCGGACGATTGACGAGGCGAATCGGATCGAATCGATCGAGTTGAATTGAATCGAAACCGAATCCTTCGGATAGAGTTGAATCGAAACGAATCGAACGAATCGATAAAATAGTATCGATCGAATCAAATCGATGTACATACACCGTGGCGTTCGTGAGAGTGTCGTGTCGCATGTGTGGAGGGAATAATCACGGGGTGTCGTCTGCCAGTGTGCCCCGATCGACGATGGTGATCGACGACCAGATGTTAATGAATAGAATCGTGTGACAAGAGGCGGTGTGCGTCGACGCGTGTTATACTTTTTTGATCGTGCACGATCGAGAGTGGAGAGTTCGATAAATGTTGGAGAGAAAGAGACGGTGCTCGCGTAACACGTGTACGTACGTGTAACGTACGTATGTGTACGTGAGTGTGTATGTGTACGTGTATGTATACGAGTACGTGTGTGTGTACGTGTATGTGTACGTTTATGTGTACGTGTATGTGAACGTGTATGTGTACTTTTATGTGTACGCGTCTGGGTACGTGTATGTGTACATGTACGTGTACGTGTACGTGTATATGTACGCGTGTGTCTAAGTAAATAATATGTATTCGCATTTTTTGTCTCTGCATGTACGTATGTATGTATGTATGTGTGCATGTAGAAAAGTAACATATGTATGCGCGTGTATGTATGTATGTATTATATGTAGGAAAGTAACATATGTATGCACGTGTATGTATGTATATATGTTTGCAAGTAACATGTGTATGTACGTATGCGAGTAATGTATGTATGCACGAGTATGCATGTATGTACGTGTGTGTGCGCACGTGTATTTACGTATGTATGTATAGAGTAGAGATGTCAATGTCGTGTAATAGGTGTACGTGTGTTATTACTTAGCGTGACGTAACGTCTTACTTCTTTTTTCTTTTTCTTCCGTCCAAAACCTCCCTGAAATTGGAGAAATGGAGAAACAGTCGTTACACACAGAAACAACACAGAATAGAGGGAGATGGGTGGCGTTGGTGTGATGGTGGTCGGGTTTCGGTAGTGTGGACGAGTGTGAGAGAAACAAGATTTTCGCTAATGTGCAGTCACGGGAACGGTAAATAGGTGGTACGTGATAAGGTGTCCGAGGGAGAGAGAGAGGGGGGGGTGGGAAGAGGGTGGAAGGAACCAGAGGGATCGATTCGAAAAGCTTCAGAGACAGAGGCTAGAGAAGATAGAAAAATAGAGGAACAGTGGGGAGATACGTAGTGGGGAGACAAAGAAATATATATATATATAAATATATACGTTCTATTTATGTATGTATATATATAGTATAATACATGTTAATATCGGGACGTCCGCGACTGGGAGAATGTTGGAACAGGTGGACCAGGCAGGTCGGGGAGTGGGGGTAGTGGTGGAAGGAGTGGGACGTCGAAGCGTATCACATTGATACACACACACAGTCCGGGGACTTCTTCTTTCTCTCTCTTTCCTTAGACGAAGTTTGCTACCCTCGGCGGCTGTGTCGAGGGAGGAGATCTTTTTTAATTAATACCGCGATTCGAAGGCTCGGGATGTAACGGGATGATAGGCTAATCCGGTCTGAATAGCGACGTCTGCACTTCGTGCTGTAATCGAGACGCTCTCTCGATGCGACAAGTATTGCGTAATAGGCACCGGAATATGCAAGTAGAGGAAGAAGTTTCTCGGCGGGCGCTGGAGTCCAAGTGGAAGATGACGGTCTGTGATCAGACACGGACCGAGTCCGATACTGCGCTCCAGACTTGCGCTCGAATTTTTCTCGAAGGTTATTGAACGTCCATTAGACGGAATTTATCGAATAAACGTTAGCAGGATCGAGGTTATTTGTTGCGACAATTTTCGTTTGAACGAAGCAAGGCGTGGCAACTGATAGCGAAGAATCTTTTTAACTTTAGATTTACGGCGCACAAAAAAAATAGCTGTTTTATATTAGCTTATAAAAGTAACAATAAGACATTTATTCTGATTTGTAACAAGTGTTATATTGCAACATTTGCCGTAAGTAACACGTAGATTGAATAAATAACTCATAAATGTATCTTTACGATATGATTGTAAATTATTAATCGTATGTATGTATGTATTGATGTATTGATGTAAATTATTATAATTGTAAATTAAAAAATTAGCGACCCGTCATTTTGACGGGTTCCGTAAATCTAGTGTTAAACGCGCTATAAAATCGTCGACCACTTTTACATTGAAAAAGAAACCTGTATCACATTTACCGTTGACGATTTATTAAATTCGTTAAAGAGGTTGAGGAGAAGACCAATTTTTTATTCTGATCGTTACTGCCGTGATATTTGGAACAATAATCTAACGATATAATGAACTAATCTTCATCGCGCTCGAGAAATAAATGTTTCGAACATTTTCTTCCTTTACCGGACAAATTTGAAAAAAAACCGACGGTCTTCCTTTTTTACCGGGACACGTCAAAGAGAATTTACGCGTTATAGTTTACCTGTCGTGCCGGGGTGTACGATCTGAATGAACTCTGCATGAGAATTCCGGTGATACAAATCTATGTTCAAAGAAGAATTTATTTCGTGTCCGTTCGTTAGGCTCGAGTGTGGAATAATCGAGAAAGGTAAGATTTCAAAATCGTATTTTTCGAACGGTCTCAAATGTGGAATAATCGATAAACAGGGCGATATAATACGAATAGATCAGTTTCAACGATGTTGGATCGAGATGTCACCCCACCGCTTGACCTACATATTTTTTTAAAGGAGCCCTGAATTTCTTAAGCGCCGCGAACCCGTTAACGTTCCGCCGTATTTTTCCAGGAAAATTTCTTCGAACACGTGGTGCGTGTTCTCGCATGCGACTTTCGGCTGCGACTGTAAATAGCGACAGCGAGCAAGGATTCGAATTACAACGAACACCCCGTATACAGCCAGTAGTACATCTCCTTGGCTATGCAGTGGTACGTGCGTAAGGATGGTTTGCTATACATTGAAGAGCACAGCGGAACTAGAGAGAAAGAGGGAGACAGAGACATACAGAGAGAGAGAGAGAGAGAGAGAGGGGGGGGAGACAGTGAGAGAGAAGTACAGGACACAGCGGTATTTATGTACGTATAGAAACAGGCACAGATAGTGACACTGCAGACATCGAGCTCGTACGCGAACATATCTTCGGTAACACAAAAACAATACATTACTCTGGACGACAGTCGTGTTATACACATACACATATATATGTATGTATGTATATACGTATATATAGATATATATATATAAATATGGATAGTTATAAATAGACAGATGTAGATGTAGAAAAGTCGTCAACAGGATAGGCATGTATCATCACTACGTTAGCAGTAAAGTTCAAGCAAACAATTAACGCGACGGGTAGCGACAATCGGTTTGTTACAACGGGGGTTTAAGGTTCAGAACACCGCAGCTTCACGAATAATCATAATCACAGGGTATATATATGATTGGTGTACATGAAGAAACAGATCTCGCAAAGAACGGCACTGCAGCTACGCACAAAAAATAAACAATTACGGGGTAAACAAATGAAACGGAAAGAGAACAGGAGAGAGAGAGAGAGAGAGATATATATGTATATATATATAATATATAGAGAATAAATGTCCATCGAGCGTCACACGGACAACACCGTGAAACGGTGCGCTCGACACCGATCAATCCCCGATCCCCGCGAATCCGTCGCTCGTGGTTTTTTTTCTCGGTTTCGGCCGCGCAACAGAATTTTCTTCTCTGATCGAAGCGTTAAGAGATGTTCTACGGCGGCCGGGCATTGATCGATGTTCGAGCACCGGTCACAATCAGTGGAAACATATGCAACGCACTGTTAGTAGCGACGCTTTGTACGTTGGACGACTCGCTAATAAAAACATCTGCAAAAAGTAGAACAACCTGTGGTATCGATGTTAACACGAGCACGTACGACACAATCGTTGGCGTCTTCTTGGGGGACTTCCGTTTACTGGAAACGCGCACGATGTCGGTTCGTAATTTTCCAGGTGGGGGAGGAAAAGGGGGGTGGCGGCGGAGCGAAAAAAACACGTAATTTAATCACGCCCATCGTTTCGTTACACACGAAATGGAAATTTCTCGGTACTGTTACAGTGTCAACGGTTGAGTTTCTTCGCATTTCTGGTATGCACGTACGTGGATACACGTCGATAGGACATATGTGGTTGTATGGGAGATTCGGTGGATGCTAAAAACGAGTGCGAGGACGATCGACCAAACTCGTCCGCTTGCATTTCAAACGGCAGCCTCGTTAATTTCCTATTCGTTTCTTCTGTTAACACTAGATTTACAGAGCACAAGAAACAGCTGTTTCATATTAGTTTAAGAAAGTAACAATAAGATATTTATTCTCTCTGATTTTTAACAAGTGTTATATTGTAACATTTAATAAATTTATTTATATATATTTATACATAAATTGTATAAATAACTCATAAATGTATCTTTACGATATGAATAATCGTAAATTAAAAAATTAGCCAGCCGTCATATTGACGGGTTCCGTAAATCTAGTGTTAATCATTTGCTCTGGGCGCCAAACGATTGAGAACGCGCCATTTTCAAAAACACGCTTGATCTTGAATCGAGGATTAGACTTGAATTTGAATTTGAGGAGATTAGACTTGGATCGGACAAGTTCACGTTCGCAGTTCTATTTCGGATTCCGGGGTTTAATTTGACTTTTGGCTAGATTTTAACTTCGATTTTATGCCATCGAAGTTCGAGGCTCCGACGAATAACGCAAGTAAGCGCGTTAGCCTTCGGGCAGACGTGTTTGGTCGGTCGAACCGTACGAAACGAAAATAAGAACAGAGCGAAACAATCGTCTGGTAATTGAAATCATAAATTAAAATGTTAATCCTACTAGCCAGCCACGATCGATCGAATCGACGATGGCTATTCTATTTAGGCGAAAGGAGATACGCCCGCATTCCTACCTCGCTCTGCGCTCTCTTCTTCTCGAGCTCCTTCTGCTTGGCATGTTCTTCGGCAATGCGAGCCTCGATCGCTGCCAGGGACTCCCGCGTGAACGGACGGAACAAAAATCTTTCTTCCTCTGATACAGAGTCAGAATCTTCGGACATTGTCTAAGCTGCACACAGCTGAGCCACCTTCCTGCACAAACGAGAAAACAACGGTTAAATTGGGGAATTAAACTCGGGAAATAACAGTGCATGATACAGTAAATTCTCTCCAATTACCACTCAGCTTGTAAATAAAAATTGACAACTTGATGATACGACTATTCGAGCTTCGCGTCTCGTTTTTATCGTTCTTGACAATCGGCGACTACAAAAATGAGTTGCGAGACTCGAATAGGCGTATCTCCTCTTATCAAATTGTCCATTTTTGTTTACAAGCTGTGCGACATCTGTGGAGAATTTACTGTATTTGGACCGCGGATCTTTATACGAAACAAAAATCGTCTGCGACGATTTTATAAAACTGGGGTTCAATGAAAATGCATTCAATAGTTTGTGGTGAATTGAAAATAATGTAAGAATATTTTTAACCCCCTTGACTACGACATAGTCTTAACCCCTTTGAGACGCGCCAGCCGTACCATACAGCAGGAATTGAGTTACGATGTATGCCGAGAACGGCGAACTTTTGGGCAGAGATGCATTTTTGTGAAAACATATTTCAATAATTAAAAAACTGAATTTCGCTACATTAAAGCAATATTATTCATTTCTCTGAACCAAATTACTATAAATATTACAAATTTAATATCAATGTAGAACTTTTTTCTCGTCTAAGTGAGATAAGATTTACCGGAATAAATATCGATAAAATTTTCAGGGCGCCTACAGGCGCCCTCCGTGTCAGGAAACCAAACTGCGTCGAACGCCTGTGGGCGCTCTCAGTGTCGCAAACGCAAAATTTCTAAGCGCCTATAGGCGCCCACAGTAGCCCAGGGTTAAATTCTTGTCTCATGTTTGAATTTGTTTTGTATCGTTTTTATCGACTTACGTCGCAAACGCATAAAATCCAATAATACAAGTTTTGGACTTGAGATCGGTACTTTTACAGTTCATGTTCATTTTATAACCTCCAAATTAACCCGTTCGCAGGTCAAAATTGATCGTCTTTTAATCAATTTTTAGATTGAACGTGAATTTTGTTACATATAATTAGAAATAAGTGAATTCAATTTGCAAGAGGGTGAATTTCATTTTCAGAAAGGTGAACATTGCGCCTACAAAAGGATTAATTTTTTGTGCAGAACCTGTTATTTCTTAAAACGTCACTTGAGTTCTTTTTAACGTAACAGACCTGTTAGGAAGATTATGCGAAGATTCCATTATTTTTTCACGTGCTTCACGTATTTTAAACATTCTTCGCTACAGACATTTTTCTAATCCAGTTTTCACGAGCAGCGAAAGCTTTTGTTGGAAAGCGTACAATTTCCAGAAAAATCAACATTTCTTGAAAATATGTTTTGCTAGCAAATGTATCAAGGTAAAAGTAGGTCAGCCAGTTTGCAAAAAGATAAAGAAAGATACAGAATTATTCTTCGAAGTTCGTGCAATCAAGGCTATATTCAGGCAGCGAGCTTGCGTTTCGCGAAAAGAACTTGTAATTATTTTCCAATAAATTCATTTCCGTATGGTAGACAGTGTTTTGAAGCTTCTCAAATTGTATGAAATAGCAAAGTGCACCACTGAGATATCTTATATCAAATTTAACGTTTCGATTTTAGGTTATTGACCGTTTCATTCTTCACCGTTGAATTTAAATGAAACTAGAATTTCCATTCACTATTATTCGTCCGATAGAGATGGATTAGATTAGGGAGAGATGGAATATAAAATAATCGTAGAATTGAATAAATTCTAGACTGTGAAGCGTGTACCCGATCAATTGCTCGATAATTGATAACCAAAAATATATAAGAGATACATTTGAGGAAATTCCTCGACGTTCGTCGGTTCCCGTGACACCTAAAGTTAGTTTCGAATAAGTGAAACACTCCTGAAATAGAAAACTAATCTTTAGCTCCCGAGGACGCTTTTAGGCAGAACTAGAAACCGCATTACGTATGCATGAGATTTATCGAACATTCAACTTTCACACTAACACGCGGTCCTGAAAATGGTGTTTCACGGGTCCCTTGGCCACGGATCTATTAAGTCCAGCTGTTCTCAGTTTCTGTCCTGGATGATCAAATAAAATGGCTAAGGAACGGCTGGCGCACAGTTGCTCATTGAAACATTCGGACATCTAAAAGGCATAACTTTTTCAAAATTAGACCAAATTATTCGAATTTTATTTTAGACGTTGGAGGCATTAGTTTACTACACGTACAGTACAGTACAGTACAATACAATAAATTCTCCCTAATTTGCCTTCAGCTTGTAAACAAAAATGAACAATTTGGGAACAGGAGATACGATTATTCGTGTCTTGCGGCTTATTTTTGTAGTTGCCGATTGTCAACAATAGTAAAAACCAGGTATTTAATAAGGCTCGAATAATCGTATCTCCTCTTCCCAAATTGTCCATTTCTGCTTATAAGCTGAAGGAAAATTAGGGAGAATTTATTGCAGTTCTCGCAAAAGTTGCAATTGGTTAGCATGTCAAAAATGATAAAAACGTTGAAAAAAATAACTTTTTCTATCCGGGCCTATAACCTTACTATAAGCAACAAATCGCAGTTTTTCATGACTTTCAACCAACAACTGTAAGAAAGGAGATTTTTCTTTATCAAAGAATCGATTCTTGCAATCGATAAATACTCGATTAACTACAACAGCATTAATCGATAATTTTCTGTGTCTAGAGACTCATGTACACTTCCACAAATTCTAATTAGTGGACCTCGAATTTTATGCATTTATGGCAAAAATGAATAGTTTCAATTTAAAATAGTAAAGAAATTTAAAAAATTAAAAATGCTGCTATATACGATTTATGATTTATTAAAATGATTAAAAAAGAAAAAGAAAAAACTTTCTATCTAATTTCTATTTCTTGCAATTGATGTAAACAACTTTTATTTTGCATAAAAATCCGCAGTCTACTAATTAGTTAAAGAAACGATGCAATTGATTCTTTCGCATGATAAATACAATAACGAAACGTGTCCAGAAGCAAAAAAGCCGCATTATAAAAGCCACCGAAAATATTCTTACATCAGTTAAAAAGGATTGCACCGAAATACTAGCGATAGTTAACCGAACAACGACATAATGGAACGAGCCGAATATAACCTCGACTATAAAATCCCAACTCGTGGATCTCCAAACGTCGATTAAACCAGGGCTAATTCTTGATCAAACACTCAGAGCTATTACCGCAATAACCGAACGACCTCTCGACTGGTAAACGTTCCGAACTTCGTAAGTGCATTACCGAATCGTACTCGAATGAGTATTACATTATTCGTCCGTGCCATCCGAACTTGTTGCATCGCCTAACACGAATAACGAGACCAGGAGCGTCTGTATCTCTCAAGAAAAAATTGAGCTGCGCAAAGTTCGGCAACAATAACTTTCCCGGGAACATTTACTAGCCTGTGTTCACCTTTCTTGCTCGTGCGAAATCTTTCTCAAACCGATGTCTCTGATTTGAATGAAACCGTTTTTCAGATACGATACAGTTTACAAACGAGAAATGTTGGATTTTTCTCCCAAGTAGAACTGATTGTGAAAAAGTGACCATAAACATTCAAACGTACGACGAAACTTCGATTCGACGATGACAACATTTGATATTTACGAATGACAGTAAATTCTGCCCGATTTTTCCTTCTGCTTAAAAACTAAAACGGATAACTCGGGAAGAGGAGATACGATTACAGTAAATTCTGCCTAATTGATGCTCAGATTGTACACAAAAATAGACAATTCTATCGATTAATACTTTTCGAGCTACGATGTTTGGAAGAGCGGCGTGCCGCAAAATTTCGACATTTTTCAAAACAGTGAAATCATTTAAAACAATCGTTTCGTTATGTTCAACTTATTAAAATCATTGAGAAGCGAGACATAACGAGACATGTACGTAGCTGCACTATCTGGCAGTTAATAAAATTCTGAATCAAAAACAAACGAGACAGAAGAATGAAAAAGATTAAATAAATCTCATTTGACAAATACAAAGTTAATTATTCCCGAAAACAAGCTAAAGGCGCAGCGCGATTGATTTTATATCCATCGAATAAGACACGTGTTAAATAGTTGTATTCGAAAGATAAACAAAACGAAAGAATAAAAAATTGTAATATAACTTGTTCGACGGATACGAAGTTAATTCTGCTCGAAAACAAACTAAAGGCAGCCAGATATGACATAACCCTGTTCAAGTTCAGCGACCGCGAATGCGCGAGAGCCGCCGATTTTCATCAAAATCGTGCGAAGTTCCGAACTGTGCCGAAACTTTTTGAGAGAAGGTAGCGCCGTGCGTCGGATCGGAAGCGATACTTACTTTTGATCGGTGCTAACAGTTTCTGAAGTGTAATGTGCGCGTGTCCCACGATGCGGGGGGGTAATACAGTGGCTGCGGCTGCGGTGGCTGCGGCTGCGGCTGGCGAGGACGAGACCGGAGCTGAGAACCGCACGACTTGCCGGCTAGAGGCCGGTACCTGGGCGTCGATTCGGAACGCGTCGCGCCGTCGTCGATGCGATTCGACGACGCCGTTACGTACGATCGGACGGATAAATGCGCTTCGTGCAGCACGTCGATTGCCGATCTGCCGACCCTCCTTGTGTCCCTTTTCCTGTCGATCGCCGTGACGGCCTTGATCACGCGAATACCTCCGCCAATACTTTCGATACCGTTGCTGCCACTACCGCTACTTCTAACGTTGTTTCCTCTGCTTTTGATGCTAATGCTGCTGTTACGGCTGCTTTTACTGTTTCTTCTTCTTCTGCTGCTGCTGCTGCTGCCGCTGCCGCCGCTGCTGCTGCTGCTGCCGCCGCTGCTGCTGCCGCTGCCAATGCCGCTGCCGCTGCTGCTGCTGCCGCCGCTGCTGCTGCCGCTGCTGCTGCTGCTGCTGCTGCTGCTGCTGCTGCTGCTGATACTATTTCTGCTGCTACCTGAATCTCGTTCCGACGAAATGGCGATGAGAAATGACGAACGCGCTGCGGCAGTGCGTGCTATGTCGGGGACCGTCCAACGCGAACCAAGATTTTTCATGTCCGACCTGGACAACCAACGAGCAAATTAGTCGGGCTAAGGAATCCGATAAGTTTTCTCGGCGGCTGGACTTTCTACGGGCATCCTACATTTTATGCTACTTGTTGATTTCAGAATTACTTCGCCGGGAGTTACGTTTTTGATAGTAGAAGTTGCTGGAAGAAGATTCGAGGCCAAGTTTCGAGGACGAGTTTTACTTTTAGGGCGTTCGCTCCGCGCGGAGAGACTCGCGAAACTAAGATTACAGGGTCCTCCCGTTCGCAGGTTGCTCTTCTACTGTCAATTGCGCAACTCGTCTTATAGATCGGAGTCCTACTACTCACATGCAAATATGAAAGATTCAGGATATACGGGTATATGAACGTGTTACCGAGAAGAAAGTGGTAATTGAGACTGTTTGCGGACAGGTGGAACTATCGATTTCGTGACTGAAATCGTTTCTTGAAACGTACAGGGTGCGGAGAAAATTCTGATCCTTTATGAGAACTGCTTCTTTTCTCTCTGTAAACGTTTAGTTTGCAGATCTATTTTGTTTTTCGAATTCTTTATGTTTCTTTTTTACATTTTTGTTGGAACTGTTCGCGTGCGTTTCTATCTGCTTTCGACTTAAAAATCGGAAACGATAAAGAGCGGATCGCAATTATTTATTTTCCGAATTAAATTTATTATTCATTGAAGGTAGAGAAGATCTCTCGTCGATTATTTAAGTCGACGAATTGCGGACTAATATGTTTTTTAAACTGGTAAAATATGTACAATATTGAATTCAAGTGTCCTTATTTTCAAAACGACTGAATATACATGGTGTTCCATAATTATGCTAACACCCGTAAAGGGGTGATTCCTGAGGTCACTTGAAGTAACTTTTTCCTTAGCGAAAATGCAATCCGTGGCTTCGTTCACGAGTTATTAACGAAAAACCGTGACCAATGAGAGACGAGATCAGTTGGCGCGAGACGGCTAAGCCAACGTGCAGAACTGGGCTTCGAGCGCTCATTGGCTCGGCCGCCTCGCGCCAGCAGGGCTCGCCTCTCATTGGTCACTGTTCTTCGTTAATAACTCGTAAACAAAGCCGCAGATTGCATTTTCGCTAAGGAAAAAGTTACTTCAAATGACTTCAGGAATCGCCTCTTTTCAGGTATTAACATAATTATGGGACACCTTGTAAAAATACAGATATAGGGACAAAATCTCCGCAGCCTGTACTTAAAATTTACACTCTCTGTGACTAAAAAAAAGTGAGCAGGATACTCAGCGTATGCCAAAATTATAAATGGTCCTTAATGAATGGCTGACACTAATGTTTGACTAGTTTTCAAAATTCATTTTTATTGTAATATATTCGAACAAACTGAATTTGATTAGAATGTTTAGGATGCAAAATGAGTTCAAATACCATCCGCTACGATTTTGAGCTTTCCATTTTCAGTTTCGTTAATCAAAATAATTTGTTTTTATGGGAATCATCGAGATTGATTTTGGGCACTTAACGCGTTAACAAAAAATCTATGCTATCTTTAACCTCTGAAATAGCAACGTATGATTTTATTTACACGTGATTGGTGTAAGACTAATTGGTATTCAGACTAATGGAATCGTTCAGAACAACGGTGCATTCGTTGAGTAATGTGTTGCGAAAATCATGTAAACATCATGTAACAAGGTTAAATTTACTTTATTGAACGCGGAAATTTTTAATTCACCATGTTGTCAAAGCTGTCCTGAACATTTAATGATCCAAATTAACGTAACAGTGTTCAAACAACGGATCACGATACTTCCACGAAAATATAAAACAATAATTAAAGAAAGTTTGGACATAGTACCTGGAAAATGTAAATTTCCATTTTCATCTGTAGCCTTAAAAAAAACAGAATAGGATGAATCTTTAAATCTTCGACTAAGTATTCTTTATAACAAAAGTTTGTTCGTCAGTATAAACGTTTCATTGTGTTTAACACTCTAACGGCGTATCTTTTTAACAAAAATATGACTTGGCATGGTTATAAAGTACTAAATACGTTAGTTTATCTATAGACGATTTATCTTAATGAACGATGTGAAAATTTCAATTAATTGCAAAGTAACAATATTTATACTGTAAGTTTATAGCTTCACCGTCCGAGTGTCAAGCGAAATACTACAAGTGCACTAAGATTTGTAGTCTAATAATAAATAATTAGGTCTAATCGCGTGTGTTCTATGAACAGTGTACTAACATGTTGTTCGTATTTTCTTTAAACAAAAAAATATTGCCAGTGAAATACTTCATTGGAAAAGTGTCACACGATTCTTCGATGACCTTCGTACTGAACAGTCAACACTCGGCTTCGCACAAGAAGGAGCACTTTATCAGCCTTTGTTGATTAAAAATGAATGGACCTCCCAGGGACGCACGAACACAGAAACAAAAAGCATCAGACGATCGGATTTCTTAGACAGGGATTTGAGTAAGGATTTCTCGTTTCTTAGCAATTGTTCGAGAAATCGAACTATCTAGGTCGTCAACAGATTCTTTTCTCCTCGAGCTCGGCGCTCGAAAATGTTTAGCACGTGCTAGAACTCCTTTGAAATAATTTCAAGCCCACCCGAAGAGAACAAAATAAAGTGTTCTCTGTCTAATCATTTTACCTCGAGAAAATGTGTTACAGAGGTTGCCTCGAAATTATCAGCAATTTTCAAAATTCACCAACAATGTTTTCGTCGACACGATTCCAGCGAAACCGCATTTCGCCGCCGACATTGTTTACATACCGACACGTTGAAGTCACCGACAAATGTTTCATCGACTCTCGTTTCGCCGACAAATGTTACTGTCGACACTTAGAACTTTTGGCGGTGTACCATGTACGGTAATGTCTCCGTAACTGACGCTCAGATTGTCCACAAAAATGGACAATTTGGGAAGAGGAGATACGATTATTCGAGCCTTGCAGCTCGTTTTTAAAGTTGTTGAACCGCAAGGATCGAATAATCGTGTCTCCTCTCCCTAAATTGTCCATTAGATGTGTATAAGAGACAGGTTCAACAACTTTAAAAACGAGCTGCAAGGCTCGAATGATCGTATCTCCTCTTCCCAAATTGTCCATTTTTGTGGACAATCTGAGCGTCAATTAGAGAGACATTACAGTGTTGTGTTTTACATATTATTTACGATAAAAGAAATTTATTTGTCAACGAAAGGTCACGGTACTTGAAGCGCAACTGTTTTAATACGTTCAGTGTCGCGTGAGTCGCGTGTGGGTGACACTAATTTTTAACTAGGTTTTTGGAATTCAATTTTATTTATTATATATATATATTATTTTTAATTTTATTTATTGTAATATATTGAACGAATTGAATGTTACCAGGATTTGTAGAATGCAAAATAGCTGAACCAATATTTCCTATGGTAAATTTTCACTTTCTAATTTCGGTGTCATTAATTAAATGACTTTGACATTGTGTGAATTTTTCGAGTTAATATTTGGCACTTAATGTGTTAAATAGCACTGCCCTTTTAGATTCTTCTTTAATAACTGTTACGAAAGGTTATTCATTCCAAGTATTCAGCATTTCGTTGGACAAATTAAGTTCGCCGACATTTTTTGGTTCAGCAGATTTATTTTTTCGTCGTTTATATAACACTTGCTGTTTCAAAGCATAATTACTCGGAAGTTGTGATTGAATAATTTGCATGGTCTCTCGTGAGTAGCTGCAGCCAGTTCATTTATTTTATTGCAAACTGTAATAATTTGATGACAGGCTGCTTCTGGTACATGATTATGTTTTATAGGGTCATGAAAACGAATAATGTGTTTTCCATTTATAAATACTGTACTTATTCTTCCTCTACACTCACAACTGTTTTCACTTTTGCCACTTTTTTCACACACCCATTAGAACAGATTGTCTCTACCTCTGCTTTTCTTATACAAGAAGCGACGATAGTAACATTTGTCGGTGAAATAGGAGTCGATGTAAACATTTGTCGTCTCACATAAATTTCGATTTCAACGTCTCATATAAACAATGTCGTTGAAATGCGGTGTCGTAAAAATCGGGTCGATCAAAACATTGTCGGTGAAATAATTGTTGACGATTTCAAGGTAACCCATAATACAGATCCCAAAATGTCACTGCGTCCTGCGTTTCCATTATACTAACGCGCATACAAAAATTCACTGTATTTAGCGTATTACTGTATCACTGTATTTCACTGTGTTTGTAATTTAACAAAATTATAGCGTTAACTGGTGAACGGTTTGGTAAATTGGGAAACAAAATGTGGGAGAAATTTTAATGGAAATACGAAAAATCGAAATTCTTCTGCGTCGGTAATAAGTAGACTGCGGATTTTATGATATTATTTTACGATAAATATAGATTGATTAAATTTAAAAGAGTGCACGAATTAAAAGAATTTAAAATTATCTGACAAAGAACGAAATTTCTACCTTGTTCCCGTTCGTTGTAATTTATGCAGAAAGTTTTTGTTTCCATAAAAATTCGCAGTCTAATAATAGCTAAAAACCTATCGAAGCAGCGAAATGCGTAGAAATATTAATTGTGAGCGAACTGTACAACTTTTTCTGAAATCAACTTTTCTACTATGTATTCAAAACATTAAACAATAATTAGGCATATATCGATTTTTATGAACTAATCTACTTGAATTACTGCAATTATACAAATATCTGGATGGTTTATCGATCGAGTGCGGATTTTATGCGTCTGCGGCATACAAGATCTCTTGGCACGTAAAAAAGTAAGTGAACATCTCGTAAATCTAAGTGCTGGAAATTCTAACTGGCATTTTAATTTTCATCCAAATAATATTCTGAAACGATTAGACCACGTTACTCTACGCGACTTGTTGGCATAAGAACAAATCGTTATCGTTATTGAAAAATTGATTAACCCCTCCGCCAGCAATTGTCACGCATTCGAACAATTCGCCACATTTCCGTATACCATAAAAGGATAGATGGGCTACATGCAATGCAATTTTCTAGCCACAAAAGCAGTTACCGATATAAACCCAGTTATCGAACGTGCCAAGACTATTGGGTCTATTAAAAGACTACCAAGTCATCATCGGTGAGCAAAGTGTTTAAGTCCGTACGAATTTCTCCGGACTTTTCATAAATCAGAGCGAAAACATTCATATTTGCATGAGGATCCGCAGTCTATTTATCAATGCATGTCTCAGCACGTTCCGCGAATACAAAGAAGCTTCGTTAAACTTTCCCAAACCGGGGCTGAACTTTCCTGGATCACGTCCGCCATAAATATCGAAAATCCGCAGTCGAACAATAACACAGACAACAACAACACAGCGACACGAAACAACGCCGAAAGACCAACTGGATAAAATACAACGTCCGCATACTCACGTGTGAATGAAGCGACGGGTGCGATCAATCCGTTATCCGAAATAACATAGTCTGATTTCCAAGTCGATCGATACTTATCTGAAACAGTACCAAACAGGAATCTACATTAATCGAAAATCCCAAGTTCTTGAATACATTAACACGTTGGGCGTCGCGGGGATCATATATGACTGACAAAATTTATCAATTTGAATCGATTTGAATGAACTTGATAATCTATTTTTATCACAATCTATTAGCAAAACTTTGTCGAAATTTGTCAGAGATTTGTGTACTTTTGTTAAACAAATTATTCTGTTTTAACTTTCGTTGAGGGTTTTAGATATTAAAAGCTCCAGGATCGATTCTCTCTTGTTCTCTCTCTCTCTCTCTCTCTCTCTCTCTCTCTCTCTTTCTCTCTGGAATGGAATCACGATCAGAAACAATTCCCACCGACATCGAGAGTTTCTTCAGAGAGAAACGAAGCTGTCGGAGTCCGAGGGTAAGAAGGGTAGGTTCGCTCCCTAGAGGATCGAATGTCCTGCGGCGATTAGGGGAAGGGGTCCTCGAGGCTCTCGCAGCAGCGACAGAGCGCGGCGTGTTCACGCATATTCACGACAACAAAAATTTACACGGAGCATGCGATATAGGGGGCGGCCCGCGGAAGGGTGTCGGTGGTCTTTGACCGAGTTTCGCGCGGTCGATCATATTCCGCCGGAACTCGGTCACGCGCTTATGCATCGGTGTCGTCGTCGTCGTGGTCGTGGTCGTAGTCATAGTAGTAGTTATCGTAATTATAATAGTTATAGTGGTCGTAGTCATGGTATTCGCAGTCATAGTATTCGCAGTCATAGTATTTGCAGCCAAAGTATTATTAATCATAGTATTCGTAGTCATAGTACTCGTAGTCATAGTATTCGCAGTCATAGTACTCGCAGTCATAGTATTCGCAGTCATAGTACTCGCAGTCATAGTATTATTAATCATAGTATTCGTAGTCATAGTATTCGCAGTCATAGTATTATTAATCATGGTATTCGTAGTCATAGTACTCGCAGTCATAGTACTCGCAGTCATAGTATTCACAGTCATAGTATTATTAATCATAGTATTCGTAGTCATAGTATTCGCAGTCATAGTATTATTAATCATGGTATTCATAGTCATAGTAATAGTCGTGGTCGCAGTCGTAGTAACTGTCGTGGTAAAAGTGAAGAGTTGATTGTCAGTGGAGCAGGTTGACACAGAATCGTGCTAATCTAGCCGAGAAAGAACGAAGACACCCGACTCACTCTGCTGGATTGCCTCCCGAGACAACTAGACACCACCATTCGTCGTCGATCGTGCGAATGTCGCGACATCGAATAGAATCTTTCGATGCTTAATGCTTGAACTACCAAACCAGTCAAAATGGCTGGTTACCCCGCGCGCGCGCGCGATTTCTTCTTTCACACAGTTATTGAAACTATTCTTATTTATAAGAAATTTTTCTGTATATATATATATATACAGTATATGTATATATATTATATATATATATATATATATATATATAATATATATACAGTATATGTATATATATTATATATATATATATATATATATAACTTCGTAAGATTTCTGTTATGATATATATATCATAACAGAAATCTTACGAAGTTCGAATAAATCCAGTCTTGTCGTTGTTATAAAATAATATACATTAATTGCGATAATACCGAAAACGGTACAATGTTGCCGGCTCTACACTTCAGGAGAGTTTGTTTTCTTAATGTTTTTAA